TTTTCTTAGTTTGATGGAGCAAGTTGACACGCTGAAGAGGCCCACAAGTAAATGAGATTGCCAACCAGCCAATAGCCAGCAAGGAACAGAGGTCCACAGCCCAGCAGCCCTTAAGGAACTGGATCCAGCAAAAACATACGTGAGCTTGGCAGCAGATCCCTTCCCAACCAAGTCTTCAGACGAGTCCTTGGAACTGGCTAACACCTTGACTGCAGCCCTGTGAAAGACTGAGGGCATGCCCAAATTCCTATGCCCTAAAACTGTGAGATGATAAATGTGTGTTGTCCAAAGTCAGTATGTTTTGAATAATTTGCTATGTAGCAATAGATGAATAACATATTTCCCTCTAATGTAAAAAAGAGACAGCAGCAGTTACTAACATCATATATTTGTTATGAAGATTAAAGAATGCGTTCAAGGATACAGAACAGTAACTAGAATACGCTAAGCATTATGTAAGTACTTTTTAAAATCAATAATTTACATTCATACCAAAAAGAGAAGATAAAAATGTAAATGTTCCCCGCCAACTTTATGGACTCCTTGAATTCCATTCATAGACTGCTAAGGGCCTTATGGACCTCAGGTTAAGAATTCTTGGGTCTAACATGTACCCCCCAATGTTTACTGCAGCAATATTTATAACAGCTAGCACATGGAAGCAATGTAGATGTCCATCGACAGATGACTGGATAAAGAAGTTGTGGTACATATACACAACAGAATATTATACAGCCATAAAATGAATGCATTTGGGTCAGATCTAGTGAGGTGGACAAACCTAGAGTCACAGGGTGAAGTGAATCAGAAGAGAAAAACAAGTGTCGTATATTAATGCTTATATTTGGAATCTAGGAAAAAGGTACTGATGAACCTATCTGCAGGGCAAGAATAGAGATACAACCATAGAGAACAAACTTAGGACACAGTGAGGGAAGGAGAGGGTGGCACAAACTGACAGAGAAGCACTGAAACATATACATTACTATATGTAAAAGAGATAGCTAGTAGGAAGTTGCTATATAACACGGAGTTCAACTCAGTACTACTCTGACAGCCTGGAGGGGTGGGATGGGGTTGGCGGTGGGAGGGAAGTTTAACAGGGAGGGAACACATGTATGGTCATGGCTGATTCACATTGCTGTGTGGAAGAAGCCAACACAGTATTGCAAAATTATTCCCCAATTAAAAATAAATTAAAAAGAATTCTTGGGTTTAGAAAAAATGGAGGGCATTAGGCAAATGTCTTCTCTTGACTTCTCCAAATCATTTCTGCCTAAACCATCTTTTCTTCCTGTACCAGAGAAGAAAGTTCTTTAGTCCCCACTTTTCTCTAAGCCCCAAGATACATGCTTTCACCACCCCATCTAATTCATCACCATGTCTTGTTGATTTAATCCCTTTATGATTCTTGAATTTGGCACCTCTTCTTTTCTCTCAACAATTACTGTCCTAAATCAGGTCACTATATCTTGCCTAGACTGTTGTGGAGCCACTGGTCAGATTCCACAGACTTTCCTCTTAAAGCCATTTTTTCAAGAAGCTACTGGAACCCTTTTCCTAAAACCTAAATATCATTTGTCACAGCCTTGCTATAAACTCCTCTGTTACCCTTTGGCCTTAAAATGCCTTCTGTGACTTGATGCCTGCTGACTCCATTCTCAACACATCCTCCGGTCTATGTGGTAATTTCTAGCAATCTTACACAACTTTTGCCTCCTGACCCATGGCCCCACGGTATTCTTCCTGAGGCCCCCAGATCTGTGTTCACTTCATTATCACTGACCTGTGACTGGCAATAAGCCTACTGCTTGTGGTGGATCCAAATGTTGAATGCAGCACACCTTGTGAGTTCCATTATTATCTCCCTCCTTCCAGAACCTTGGAAGAGTAGACTTAGGCTCCCATATCCCTCCAGAGGGTCACAGGGTCTATTGCAGGGTGGCACTATGTTTTGGGGGAGGGAGGTTGTTTGGGGCCAAGGACACATGGGTGTGAGATGGTGACAGTTCACAGTGGACAAGAGAGGATTAAAAGCAGCCAGCCACAGTGGCTTAGGCTGAGGAGGCTCCTGAGAGCGCCAAACAGTTGCAGCATTGCTGTCGGCTGCTCACATTGCAGCGTACAGCAAAGGCTGCAGGGAACTGGTGTATCAGGCTAGAGGATGGCCCTACAGACTGCCCACCATGGTTCCACACCCTGCGTGGGGACCAATCTGCATCCATGGGCTCGATCATCTCTGGTACAATAGGCCAAGCAGTCCACAATCACTGACCCCATTCCATCCTCAGTTGCTGTGGGCTGTCCTGCTCTCTGGGGGTTTGAGGCTAAAAGGGGATTAGTGTGAGGTATGTGCATAGGAAAGCACAAGGGAGCCCCAAGGTGGTGGGTCCAAAATGTGGCAGTAATGGAACTGGACCCAGACAAGGAAGCGCTGAACCAGCAAGTTCCACCTTCCTTTGCCTGTGGTTAGGATCCACACACATTCGGTACCCTATGCCAAATTCTCCATGCACTTCTTACAAAGGAAGCTGCTGAAACCCACTCCCATCTACTTAACATCCTACTGGATCTATCTATGCTGGAACTGATATTAACTCATATGCTGCACATATTCTACCATCTCCAGCTTATGCCTGCGTAAAGTGAGGTTCCCAAGGCTGCAGGCTAGTAAGGAGCGACGATGGATTTCATACTAGGTAGGTGAGCCCCAGAAGCCCTAAGGAATATAATACCCTTGCTCAGGTTGTTTGGACAGAAGAGCAGAGACAAATCACAAGTAGACTCTCGGTAATAACATAAAATACATGGGATTTGGAGGTGCTTCTGGTGAACTAAGTTCCAGACACACAGAGGTTTTGGACATGGTAGGCAAAGTTTTTCTGTAAAAGGCAAGATAATATTTTAGTCTTTGTGAAGCCATATGGTCTCTGTTACACTCAACTCTGCCTCGGTGGCACAGAAACAGCCATAGAAAACATGTAAAAGAAAGTTGTTTTCCAGTAAAACTTTATTTCCAAAACAGGTAGTGGGTTGGATATAGCCCATGGTTGGCTGACCTCTGGTCTACAAGTAAAGCTAAGCTGCTCAGATTGATGAGCAAGTGAACTTGAGTAGGCCTGGAGGTAGGGAAGGGTGGCGGAATTCAAGTCTGAGGTTTGTGAGTCAGTAGGTAAAGCATCTGACTGCAATGCAGGAGACCCGGGTTCGATCCCTGGGTCGGGAAGATCCCCTGGAGAAAGAAATGGCAACCCACTCCAGTATCCTTGCCTGGAAAATCCCATGGACAGAAGAGCCTCGCAGGCTGTACAGTCCATGGGGTCACAAAGAGTCAGACATGACTGAGTGACTAACAAGGCTGTCCCACACAGTTCTGCAGGTAGCTCACTGCACAAGGGCACCTGGCTGACCTGGCTCAGAGGTGAGGGTAAGAGTACACAATCCAGGCTGCATTTCTTTCACCAAGCTGCGTAGTCATCACAGTGCTGGCTTGCCTCAGCCCGGAGGAAAGGGCACTGATCTACTAGCTAGACTGCCTGAGGGGCTATGTCTGCCCAGAGGGCCCCTTTGTCTAAAAGGGCACTATGTATGGGTTCACTGTGTTCACCAGACACTGTGCTTGTAGGTGCTAGGGAAACGGATCCTTATGAGGTTGATAAGGAAACTGGGACAAGATAAAATGTGTCTTTTCAGCTGTCTTCACAAAAGATAGCCTTAAGCCACAAATCTGTGTTGCTGCATTACATGGTTCAAATGGCTCGAGCCTACAAAGACCTTAGAGCTGACCAGGTGAGTTTAGGCATTTCGGGCCCTCGCTTTAAGAATCATAGAGCAGAACAAAGACAGCGATGCAAAGAATACACTCCAATGTGGAACTGAAGCTGTTAGGGGGTCTCTGTGGCAGGACCCCCAAATATGGCATGGATTCAAAGGAAGGAGAGATATGACATGGCCCCAGAGCCTTTGTGGAGGAAGAGACCTTCGACTGAGTATATAAGGGGGACTGTGGAAGGTAACACCAGACAGGGTAACAGGGGATGTTCAATGGGCCTTGCATGCCAGAGGGAGGGAGGGATTTGCATGTACTTCTTTTAGCAGATGGTAGGGAGCCGTCCTATGGAAGAGGAGCCTGGTGGGCTACAAAAACAGTCAAGGTCAAAAACAGTCAAGACACGACTGGGTGACTAATATAATGAGATCAGTGACGTACTTAATGTACTTAATCCAAATTAGGGCTTGGCCTGTCAAGAAAAAGAGGTGGATGTGAGAAGTGAAGTAGGATGCACAGGATGTCCCTCTTTGAACAGAGCGAGTAGAATAAGGCTAGGCCAAGGGTTAACAGCCCTGTTTGAACTTAAGATATCAATCCACAGGCCCAAACCTCTACAGGCAATCAATCCACAGGCAACATCTCCATCTGAAAGTTGCCACCAGTTGCTCTTTTTACCTTCAGGTGTGTTGCTCTTTCGGAGAAGGCAATGGCATCCCTCTCCAGTACTCTTGCCTGGAAAATCCCACGACAGAGGAGCCTGGTGGGCTGCAGTCCATGGGGTCACATAAGAGTCGGACACGACTGAAGCGACTTAGCAGCAGCAGCAGCAGCAGCAGCAGTGTTGCTCTTTAAGTGCTGGAGATCTTTCCATTTACTGGAAAAACCTCCTGAGACTATCAGAGAAGAGCTCTAGCAGTGCTCAGGCCATCCCAGCTGGGACAGAGTGGATTTAGCTGCCTTTGAGGCAGAGGACAAGAAGAGTCTACCTAAGATTCGGCAGAAAATCTGGAAAATGGAGCCATGGTGCTTTGCTCCTACAAAGCAGTTGGTGCTGTTAGGCTCATGTGAAAACATGAACTGCCTTTGGAATCTATTCTGCAGCTGTATGAACAAAAAGTGCACAAAAATAAAGGTGTATGAGGACATTCACTTGTGCTCTTTTTAACTCGAACTGTTCAAGCAAAACATGAATCACTACCATATGACAGGGTGTTAAGAGAGATTGGACTTGACATAAAAAATTCTTCTAATTGTAAGCCCTTGAGTTATTCAAGGGAGAGGGAGAGGTCTTTCACTCATTTTCTCCTCTATTTGTTTCTCCCCCTCAGCACAGGCCATGAATATCTACGAGAAGAACACCAAGGTCAGGTCAGCATCAGGTTGACTTCATATCATCTCTGAGATATTTAAAGTCATCTCTTCCGGTTATGCTTAATGGGGAGTGAGGAATCTAAGAGTCCTCCTAGCACTCTTATGGGAGCACATACTCTCGCCATCATGAAGCCTGTGATAACCTGACAGAGGGTGGCAGCAGGGGCAGGGGAGGCAGCAGCAACGGGAGCCATGGCAGGTACTATGGCACAGCATCCACCAAGTCTTCACGCCCAGGGCAAATCCACCAGCACTGGCAGGAGCAGCCTTCATGGATCCAGGAGGAAGCAGAGCCAGCACGGCCAGGCAGGTGCTTCCAGCATGTACCCACCTATGAGGTAGCAAGGCCTGTGAGCATCTCCTTGTCCTCAGAGGGCAATTCAGCATGTCGGCAGGAGGTGCCAGTCTCTCCCTAGAAGGCAGCATGGGTGTGGTGCTTGCAGGAGAAGATACCACCAGCAAGCCTGTATCAGAACAGCTAAAGTTCCAATGGTGGGATCCCTCATCTCAAGTTTGCAGACTGAAAGCTGAACGATTAACAGGATGGACGCCAGAAGGTCTCCCAAACCATGCTGAAGTCTAGAGGAAAAGAAAGGAAAATGACAGAACTCCTGATAAAAGGCATCATCTTATTACTGGAAGAAGACAAATCAACTCTTAACATCATCCTTCTACTGGCCCTTTGCCTGGCACGGAACCACTAGGAGTGAAAAAGAAGGGAAAAGACTACAGCAGCCCAGGAAGTAGGGGACACAGATCCTCCTTCAATGGAAAGCCAAGAGAAAACAAAAAGCCATTGGCCACAGCCTCATCCACTGGGTGTGTGCTCAGATTTCTCTTCCTTTCTTACTTTCCACTGACTTCAATACAATTGTGAAAAGCCCTATACTCAGGTCTGGGTGGTGAATCTGGGAAGTGAAAAACACTAATCCTATTCTCAAGGAGTTCACTGTATAGTAGAGTATATAGTCATCTTCTCTGTTTACTCTCTTTGCCTGCTCATGAGAATCATTAATGCTGAATCACAAACAGTACAAGGTAGACTGAGAAGTGTCCTAGGATAGGAAATCATGTGCAGTAAAGCTGAGATGATCAGAACGTTTTTCTGTCTGGACTATGGGCTCCAAAAGAATAGGGGCATAGCACACAGATCAACTCAACTGTGCAGTGGGAAGAAAAATAGTCTGCGGCCGCCTCCTGTGTGCCAAGCGTACTTGGCCCATAACCTACATACCTAATTCTCTTAACAATTTTATAATTAAGGTATCAACATCTGTTTTACAAATTAAGAAAACAAAGGTTCAGAGGACTTGAGCAACTTACCCAGAGTTACATAGGTAATAAGTGATAACCTAGGTTTGTAACCTAAGTCTTTCTTACTACCTTAACTATGGCAGCAATGCACAAAAGCTAATAGGCAAAAACTGACTTACATTTTAAAAAACCTTATTTTGACCTACAGTAAAGTTGCAAAAATAGTGGAGAGTTTCCATATACTCCTCACCCAGCCTCCCCTAATGTTAATATCTTAATATATAGTACAATGATCGTAACAAGGAAATTAACATTGGTAACAATATTACTAACTAAACTAAAACTTTCATTTGTTTTTCATCAGTTTTGCCACAAAAGTCCTTTTTTCTTCCAGGATTCCATTAAGGATCCCACACTAATGATTTTTTTTTCCACAGTAGTTTCATGCTAACAAGGATATGAATAAGGCACGTATCTTATATTTTGCTGAAATCTCTTAATTTTATGATACATAATGTAAAATGATACTTTGTAAATGGTCTATAGGCACTTGAGAAAAAGTTATATTTGTACTCTGCTATTGTGTTGTGGGATGTCCTATAACTGTCAATTAGGTGAAGTTGGATGAGAGTCATGTTAAATCTACTGTGTCCTACTGGGTTCGATCCCTGGGTTGGGAAGATCCCCTTGAGAAGGGAAACGCTACCCACTCCAGTATTCTGGCCTGGAGAATTCCATGGACTTTTTATATAGTCCATGGGGTCACAAAGAGTTGGATGTGACAGAGCGACTTTCACTTTCACTTTGGACCATTTATGTGTAATGTTACTATTGATATGCTTGTGTGTAACACCTTTCTATTTGTTTTGTGCTTGCTTACCTCTTTGCATTCTTTTTCCTATTAGACTATTTTTAATTATGTTTTATAATTTTGCTTTACATTATGATGACTTCTTAGATAACTATTTATAGTATACATCTTTAAATACAGACCACCTTCAAGCAGTATTAAACTTCATGGCACTTTGAGGACCATATAATAATACACCTCCATTTACCTCATTCTTGTCTAAGTACTATTCTTATCACTCATTTCTGTATACATCATAAAACTATAAATGTCATTTTTTAGCTTTAAATAGTCAATTATTTCCTGAAGAGATTTAAATTGTAAGAGGAAAAAAGTCCTATATTTGTTCTAGATTTGTTTTCAATGAATTTCATTTCTTGTACAAATCCAGATTTCCACATGCTCTATTTCCTTGAGATTACAGGCTTTCCTTTGACATTCGCAGTGAAGCTCTTTTGGCAATTAATTCTTTAACCTTTTGTAGGGATGAGTAAGTATTTTACCTTTGTGTATGAAATTTATTTCTGGTGGGTAGACTGTAGACTGACAGATTAAAAAAATTTTTGTTAATACTTAAAAGAAGTTACCCTTACTCTCCTCTGACATGCATTTTTTTCCACTGACAAGTCTGCTGTAATTCTTATTACAGGATAAGAATAATGCATCTTTTTTGTGTTTCTGGACTCCAGATTTTCCTTTTATCATTAGATTTAATCACAGTGTGATTGTGTCATTTTCTTCATGATTCTCATGCTTTCAGTTCACTGAGCTTCTTAGAGCTCTGAGTTTTCACTATCAAATTTAAGAAACATCAGCCAATATTCTTTCAAAGAACTTTAGCACTATCTCAACACAATGCACAACAATTGACTGACAAAAGTGAAAAACTGATGGGTAATGCTCATGATTACAATGCATTTACATGCACAAAAGTCATATCACTCAGACCGATGCAACAATAGGTGATTCATCACTGTGAACTGCAAATCATGATTGCCAATATCAGTAATCAGGGGGAAAAAAAAACAGTGACAGTGACTAAAAAAGGTAGATAATCTATGCTGTATTCATCTGGTATTAAAAATATTGCTTTCAAACCTGTTTGGTGGGGCTGTTGCATTAGTTTTGTTTTCCTCCAACCTTCTGTACCTATGATAGAAAACTGGGGATTTTCATATCATGTAAAGGTTTCCGGAGATACATGACTTTCATTACTGAAACCAGGCTAGTCCCAGGAAAACTGGGATGATTTATTACTCTAGAGCCAAGCTTCTTGGAGCCTGACTGGAGAGCACCAAAGCTACCAAACCACGTTTTCACCCACCTCCCCAAGAGAGTTGATTCACCTAAGGAAAGGATTTGATATGGATGGCAGGAATCAGTATCACACACCGGCAAGAGAAGCTCAGTAAAAGAACCCAGTAAGGGAAGGAAAAGAGAAGAACCTGTATTACAAACTGGAATCAATGTGGATGAAGTTTTGACCACAGTAGTGGTCTCCACTGTTCTGATAAATCAACTATATGATGGTTCATTCAAGTGGAATTTATTATTGCACTGATGGAAACCTGACAATATCAACTCTAATCCCCAGGAGACTTTAACTTTCATATACTTCTAGCACAAAAAACAGTAAAGATAATTTTAAGAGAAAGGAAAAGAATCCATATTTTTCAACAACTGAGAGACAGGATTTGAATGGACAGATCAGAAAGTATCCAGAAGTTTGAGTCATATTTCCACCACTGTCAGACATATAAACTGTTATTGGTAATAAAACTATGCAATGTGAAAAAAAGAGGCCAAAGACTATGACAAAAATATTCTGCCAAAATTTACTGTTTCAATAGCCAAATCGTGGTAGAAACTCAATGTACTGAAATGTCTGTAATTTTACTCTAGTTAAAAATAAGCATATTAGAGAGATTGATGAAGAGTAAAAAGATGGGAATTATAGATTTTCAGAATGAGGTTAACTATGATGAAGATGTTCCTAGTAGAACATGGAAATTCAGAAGACACAGAGAAATGAAGAGATAGGAAAAAAACAGCACACAAGTATGAGTAATTACTAGCTCTCTGCTACTACAATTAGCAAAGTGAAGTATACTCTGAATTCCTGGAAGTGGTCTCAGTAAGTTCCATAGAGAAATTTATTTTGATTATGTCTTAAAAGTTATAAGATTGTGAGTCTAGATATCAAAATGGTAATATTATTCATGGCAAACAGATGATTAGATCATAAACTACCTGTGATGTGCATTCAATTGAATATGTGGTTAAAGGGAAAATGGGCTTTTTCATACCAACTTGGCTGTGGATGAGAGAAGGTGAGAGGAAGGAAGGAAGCAAGGGAAGGAGGGAGGGAGAGGGAAAATATTTTAAAAATTGTTCAATATGGTTTTTATGAGCTAGACTATGAAAACAAAGCTTTTGAATAAAATATGAAGGCTCTATGGAAAAATGCAGACAAAAATTGGGAATAAAGAAACGTTCCAAGTGTTAATTCCAAAGTAACAAAGGTTGGACAATTTTGGAGATGTGTTAGATAAAAGAAGAGTCTTAGGGAGGGAAGAATAAATGCTCTAATCCAACAGGTGCTCTCCAAGCACATTCATCCTTGAGGCCAGGCAAGCCCACACCATGGAAAATGTTCATGTCCTCCAAAATTGAAGAGAAAGAATTTGGACAATGCCAGAGAGAGGTTTGCACCAAACTACCCAGAAACCAAACCTCAGAAAGATGCAACAGAAACTATGCCTTGGGTAAAAGGATCAATCCCAGATTAAAGAGTTTTGAGTCATTTTACTGCAGAACATTGTTTCTCCCTATAGAAGTGTGATAGGGAAACTGCACTGATCTTTACCCCATCACTGTTCTGTTAAGTTTTGCTTAATATGAACTATTTAGCCAAATTGGGCAAATTAAATGTATGAAGTCCTCAATGGGTGATGAGTGGCAATACCAAGTCATGTCCTTCTGGGTGACTGTTGAGGATGACTTCACCTATTTTCTAGTTGTCACTCTGCACAAAGTCAGCACTGTGAAATGTACGGGTCTATAGCAGGTATATTAGATTTAGGAGGAACTGAGATTAGGAAAATGCAGCAGCATTTTGGGCATAGATTTACTTAGACCATGGAAAGAAGAACAGTCCCAATTGGCAGCTAGCGTTGAACACAAATATTAACAACATCGTATTTCAATTCAAAATTGTCCTTGCTTAAGATAGATATCATGGCAGAGAAAAGGACTGCAGGACTGGAAACTGGGTGTTCAGAATCCCAATCTCAGTTCTGTTAACAGGACTAAATTCATCAGTGAATGTCTTTAGACCTCAGTTTCTCCAAGTAGAAAATAAGGGATTGGGTTCAACATGTAATTCAATGTAACATAAATCAAGTGTCTCATATGCTCCAGGAATTTTACTGGAATAAGAAAGTGTTAGGATTCTTACCATTTGGGGGCTCCTGTTACAATTCTCAAAGAGGGATCCTCACCTTTTGTCTGATTGATAATGCATAGAAAGTATTGCTAGGGAAAAAAATTATCAGACTGTCTTTTCTAAACTTTTTTTCAGAGTACTATGCATTCTTTATAATGCCTAACTGGGAGGATCAGAAATACATGGAAAATAAATATCATCCATGGATATAAAAAGAAAATTAATTCATTCCATCTGAAGTATTTTTTCACATTATATGTTTACTTTTAAAATATGGACATTCATATGTTTTTAACTTAGCATTTTCTGAAATATTCATTCATGAAATTAAATGCTTTTAGAGATTCATAATTCATATTGTATTTCATATCTCTGATTACTTTTAAAATAAGAAATTTTAACTTTATTTAATCAGGTATTCCCCCAAATTAACACTGGGGAAAGTTTTCTTCAGGAGAACATTTGAGAAAGTTTAAATTATCTCTGGAGTTATCCCCTTATTTGAAAGTGAGTTGTATCTACATTTTGGGCTTCTTTCTACTTAACTTCTTGTGACAGTTTGTCTTTTGCTATAGTGTTACCTAGTGGTGTCCCACACTTCACTGGTGGACGTCTCACCTGCTCCATTATGGGAACCAGGCTACTCAGGGTGGTAGAATTAAGGGAAAGGGCCCCTACGTTGTTCTTAACTGAAGGCAGACTAAGGGAGGCTGAAGTTTAACGTCCACGTGGGAATCTATTGTATTGGGCCAATAACATCCTTTTCACAACAGAAAGATTGAGAATAATAAGTAATTCAGCCAAAATAAAACCAAGATTCCTAACCAAAGTAGTGCTACCAAGAAATGACCCTTCATATTCCTGCTTTCCAATCCTTCAGTCTCTATTAAATACATATAAAACTCTTTTAGATAATCATTTACTCTTCCAAGTTACCACCTTACTTCACCAGGCCCAACAATAGGCAAACTCAAATGACAGTCATCACATTGCTCCAGCCCACTTACGTTTAGATCTTCCTTGTACCGCAGTGAAGAAAACAACCATGGAAATGCAGACCACAGTTAAAATACTCAAAATTATCCATATTATTATTTCTGTCAAGAAGGAAAATAGAGACATCCATTAGGATAAGTAGCACTGTCTGTCAGTACATACTCAATTTCTCAAAAGAGCCAGATATCTAGTTCATGCTGACCTTAAAGCATATTACCATTTCTCTGTCTTTTAGTTTTGGAAAACACTTTCTTTACTGTAGCCCCTGTCTACACTAGAGGGCGTGGCCTAGTACTAATCTGATCATGCCACACATGCCCCTACCATTTTTAAATCAACCAGTAAAGTTATTAAATCACCTCCCTGGTGTCTTACAGACAAAACAATCATTTCAATGATTTTAATATAATTTAACTATTTACTGTGTCATTGTATAAATATTATGAATAATATGTATAAATATTATAAATAAATGTTATGAATTAGTTAATATAATTTAACTATTTACTGTGTCATTGTATAAATATTATGAATAAATATTATGAATAAAAATATTTTAAATCAACCAGTAAAGTAATTAAATCACCTCCCTGGTGTCTTACAGACAAAACAATCATTTCAATGATTTTAATATAATTTAACTATTTACTGTGTCATTGAATAAATATTATGAATAAAATAAATACATGGAATAAAAATTCCATGTATTTCCATAGTATAAATATTCATAATAAAATATTATGTAGGGATAACAGAAAGCTGCGACTTCACCATGTTGACAGTCAACAATTTGCTGTTAACAATTACTATATTCATTATTTAAAATCAGACTCTGTTAAGAAACCCAACCTCAAGAAAAACTATTTTGAATTTAATATCACACCTCACACTTAGTAGCAAAGATATGCTAACAACCCTAGTCCAAGTAAGCCTTTGAATAGAATAATTCAATTTGGTATTAGTAGGTTGCCTAAAAAGTATAGTGCAGGGACTCAATCATTTTCTGTACTATTAGAAATTCAACATTACACAAGAAACACAGCTGATAAAACACCACTTAAGGCAATGAGATGTAATAACATAGAAACTAACCTGCCAATAGAAATAGTCATTTCCTTCTTCTGGTTGAGTCTGGGGTTGAGGACCAAAAAGGTCACAGTTAACCAGAACTAAAGACTCATTGGAGAACATGCTGTTTCCACCTGCTCTGGTACTTTCAGAGTGTGGCTTTAAATTCTGTCCTTAGGGATCTCCCCATCTTGCCTCAGGTTCTAGGTACCAGCCTGCAGCCGAACACACCAGATGGACCACTCTGGCATCGCTGTTCTTGATGAGGAAGTGTGGCGAATTTCCTAATCCTGTAAAATGTGAGAGGGACTAGGAGCTCAATTAAGTAACCAACATCCAAAAATTGTTTTGATCCTAGGTTTTAGACATCTAACCAAAAACAATGATTGTCCATCTCTTATGTAACTTAGGTAGGAAGAAGATTCTGTAAATGATTTTCTCAGAATGAATGATTACCCTAAGAGATCAAAGATAGCTGAAAAAGAATAAGAAATCTTGAAGGAATGAGGTATTAACAAATAGTCAAGGAAAGAAGGTAATAATAATAAGTTGAGTGTTACGATTTATAGTAATCTCAGAGGTTTGTTGAGAACAGTTCTGATTAAGTCATTGCACTGCCACAGATGTTGAACTGTTAGAGCAGATTCACTGAGAAATTCCCTGGGAAAAAGGAGCTTTGCAAAGAAATACAAAAACAACCAAAATAGTCTAAGAGAATCCTGAGCCCAAGAAAGCAGGAATCAGAACTCTTGAAACTTTTTGGATTCAAGAATATCACTTGCTACTTCCAGAAAACTGCTCCAAAAAAAAAATTTTCAAGGTCCTTTTGCATTAGTTCAAGGTTAGAAAACATTCGTGGATTCCAAGTCCACACCTACATAACTCCAAACATTCAGCCAGACTGGAGTGACGCCTACTATAATTACAATAAGCAATTAAGTTTGAGAACCATATTTCTAGATGATAACCAAGATTTTTATAATAACTTAAAAGCAGAAATTACTCTGTATTTTGATTCATTTAGCTCTTATCTATGAAAAAAAGATATTTTTATTGATGGAGTCATGATACTTGGCTTAAGAAAAAACCATATATTCTGGAATTCTACTTTCAAGATCCCACAGAACTTGTCTTACTCTTGGGACAAATGCAACTTAAAAATTTATCTGTACTTTCCTCCATAGACTTTTCACTATGAATCAGTTGCCAAAGTAATGCTCTTATAACCCCACTCCCTAATGATATGGCCGTCAATGTCACAAGAGCCTCCTCTCAGGTCAGCAACAGCAGGTCTGATTCATGGAGCTTTCTGGTCGACAAAGAGGGACGGTATCATGAACACAAATAAGACATTACATAGGTCAATTAACCTGCCATAATCAGTGGGTGATTCAGTCCTTTCACAGCTGAATTCTTATTGATTTCATCTCCATTCTCTCAATCTCAACAGATGTTCAGACTCTCAGATTACTACTGCTGAGCTCTCAGGTCATCCTTTCTTCCAAGCACTGCCTTCTTAGCTGTATGGAATCCCAGGTCAAGTTCTCTGCTCTGACAAAATTTATGTTAAGGCACACTTAACTTCAGCTACCAAAATCTCCATGTTCTCACTCTCATGTGTGAGAGATTTTATTTATTCAAATCATTCAGCCAATTATTACTGGACACACACAGCTATAGATGAAAAGTTTGTCTCCCTTCAAAATGCTTATGTTGAAAACTAGCACCCAAAATGATAGTATTTAGAGGGGGGGCTGTTGTGAGGCGACTAGGTCGTAAGAGTGGAGTCCTCATGAATGAAATTAGTGCCCTTGTAAACGATGCCCCAGAGGGCTCCCTCACCTTTTCTGCACTATGAGGACCCAGTGAGAAGACCACGATCTATGATTCAAGAAAAGGACTCTCATGAGACACTGAATTGGCCAGTATTTTGATCCTGGACTTCCCAGCCTCTAGAACTGTGAGGATAAATTTGTTTTTAAGCAGTCTATGGCATTTTTGTTAAAGCAACCTGAATGGACTAAGACATCTACTATACGACAAACATGTTCCAAGTCTTAAGAACACAGCATGTATTGTCATCAACAGGAAGGAGGTCAGTGTGTCTGGAGCACTGGCAGTGAAGCAGGTTGGTTAGTTACGGCTTACTCCTGTTATGTGTCCTTCAAATAATGCCAAGTCACTGTTGCTATTCCTTCAAGCACAGCTGAAATATAACTGTAGCACACTCTGTCCTCTTGCCTGGACTGTTACAGTACAATTTAAATGTTTTCACTGGAAGTCTGTGGAATTACTACAAGGTTTTCCCTTTGGAAGTGAGACATGATCTCAATTCGAGGACTTTGAAAATTCAGTTCCCTCTGTCTGTAAGCACTTTTCTCTAGCAGGGCTCACTCCTTCACAATCTTCAATATCTGAAAGTCACTGTAGCAAATACATTTATGAGAGTACAGATAACAAGATATTGCTCTATTTGTGGTGTGTGATCCCACTGGAAAATATATGCATGTATATAGCCCTAGGAAGGCTAACAGACTGCCAGTTTGAAACTTTTATCTTAGTCCCTTTTGCCAGACATTTTTCTGTTTTTTACAGATTTCTCTGCTAAAGCTATGAGAAAGGTGAGTACCATCATCCTCATTTATAGTTGATAAAACAGATAGAGGGAAGCTAACAGATTTGTTTAGTGTCTTCTTGGCAAAGAACAGGGATTCTGATCCTAGCTCTTAGCCTACAGTTATAACTAATTAGATAACCTGTTTAGGAAAAGCAACCAAGCCAAACCAACCAACCAAACCAACAAACAAAAGCCTCTTAAATTCTAAGATTTCATCACCATTAAAATTAAAATAACAATAACTGATTCTGGGATTATTGAGTAGAGATAAAGTGGCTTCCATCATAAGCTGGGTAGGGCCAACCATACCCACTATCAGAGTGGACCTTACCCTGCCTATTCCCAGATGCTACTTCAGAATATTGGGTCATTTTCACCATAAGTGGTAGAACTTCCATCACACACACACACACACACGTACACCCCCCAAAATGTGTGGTAATCCCTTTTTTTGTATAGATAGAAAAAAGACTCAATATCTTTCTCTTCTGCTGGGCCTGGGTTTTCTTGAATATAGATAGTATTTAAATAATATTTCAAAAATGTTCAGAGTTTTGGAGATGGAATGGAGCAACTCCACTGCTGTTTGCTTGTTGTCTCTGAGAGGCACCAGAGAAGAGGTAAGTGCAAACAATGTGGTGAGGGACCGTTTGGGTCCTCTCAACCCGTTAGATGCTTTTCCACACTCTAAGGGCACATTTTAGCCAACACTGCACCTTCTACTCAGTACTAAAACCAGGTCTTCAAATGGATATGGAGACTCAAACAATGACTCGTATATAATGTGATAAATATGTTTAAATACAAACAATGAACATTCTTTGTAGAAAAAAGGGGAATGAAAATAATAACACAACATTATTTCTTTTTTTTAGAAACAAAGTGAGAGAGGAGAACTATTTCAGCTGGAGGAATATGAAACAAGCAACTGCCCAGAAGCGGTTTTGTGTAGATGACTGGAGGTCAAAGGCACACCACTACTGGGGAGGGAAACTTGCATCACAAAGGTCAAGAGGATACCACTACTGGGGAGGGAAACTTGCATCACAAAGGTAATTAGGGGTTGAGTTGACAGAGAGCACTAAGTGTCAAAACAAAAGTTTTCAATCTACCTTGAAATCCTTAGGGAAATACTTTTTGAAGAATTATTGCACAAACTTGTGACTTCATTTTGTAGGTTTAATGAAACATATGTTTGCATTCCCACTTTGGTCATCTAATTCAGCAGGTCACTAACACAATAATGTAACAGGAAGTCTATTACAAGTAGACTGAAAGGAATTGAGAAATTACTTAAACAAACAAACAAACAAAAACAACAAAAAATGTGTTCAAGAGTGGCTATCCTTCCCTGTTTCCTCAAAATTTCAGTGTTGTTTAAATAATGTTGTATTTGAAACAAGTAAGGCAATAAAGTAATAATAATACTTTACAGAGTACGTAATGAAAGGTCAAGACACTTCATTAGTTGGGACCTGGTCTAAATTTTTGTCTTATAGGATGAAACCTCATTAAAATATTTTATATTAATAGTTGACTGTGCTTCAGTGGGAAAAGTGTTTGGATTTCTACAGAAAATGATTTTATTTTAGCAGTTTGAAGCGCCATCCACTGGAAATCAAAACTGAAGTTCCTAATTTACAAACTACTTTACAAATTACTCATAGAGGTTGCCTACCTATATCCACATTGTTCATTTGGTACTAATTCCCCTGCCCCCAACGACATTCTCTGAGAAGATAAGAACAGAGAAGCCTGACAGGGCATACTCTTGAGAAGACCTCCTCAGCCCCACAGAGCCAAAGTGAACCACCAGGCAGACACAAAGTTGTTGTTGTTGGATGTAACATGCTGGGGATGTAACATGCTGGGCTGTAACATGCAGGCAGACTGAGGGTTAGACAGAGAAGTACAGGGGGAGAGAGATGGACTAGGAGACTGAGATGGCAGGGTAGCATGGATAAGAGAAAAAAGAATTGCTCTAACAACGAAAAATTGGTGTAAGAGTGAAAAATTGGTGTCTCCAAGAAGTTTTGTGATACAAATAATGGAAGAGGGATGCTGATTTCAATAAAGTTGTGGAATCCATACTTCTATATTACTTTAAATATTTTCAAAATAGATGATTAAAGTCATGACTATGTGAGTTTTGGCTTACCAGCAACGATAGGGGTCTGTATCTGTGATTACATAAACTGTTCCAGAATATAACTTTACTGAATATCTTTTCTGTGCCAAATACCACAGGCTTTTGAAATAACTGTGAAAAACCTACACTGTTATCATTCCCCTCTGAGGGTGAATGGTAGAAAATGCAGTCTTGTTTTGTTTCAATGAATTTTTATCCAAGTATAAGCAGCACTAAGAGACCACAAGATCCAGGAGTCAGCACATGGAAGCTTCATAGCCTGGGTCATGACATACTGGTTGTCCAGAAAATGAAACTGAAAGTTGCAGCAGAAATTGCAGCTGAAATCAGTTGCAACTGCAAGGTGATCAGTGAGTGAAGATCCATTCCACTGTCTAGGATCTTAAGGGAGAAATATGGAAGAGACTGGGAGGAAGGCGTAAGTTAAAACTGTAAGCACGGGTTCACTCTGTCACATTATAGACCAGATTGTCTCCATTCTGACACAACTGTCTGAAGGAAAGGAGGGAATGCTGAGAAAGAATTTCAAACAGATTGTTCTTGATGCTCAGTGAACAAGAAACCGTGGTCAGCTAACTACATACATCCCTTCCTTCCCCGTGACCCAAGTCCAAACAGAGGTCTAGTAGACTTTCTTGGGAGCTTCACCTCCCAGTACTGATTACCATCAGAAAACCTCTCTTCACTCATTGTAGATACCAGAGTTTCAAAGTGTTTCCTGTTCTCTGAAGGATGATGCTTTCTGAAAATGGAGAAAATCAGTTTCCTACCAATAAGCATAACAACGTAGGGATCCAAAATTACACACATTTTGAAAAGGAAGGTCATCTTATGTACTTTTACTTCCATCCATGAAAAGGTAACAGCCTCACAAAAAGTTCTCCCATCCTAAGTGAGTGAACTGAATAAAATTTCTGAAACAGCTATTTTAGATAATGGACAACAGGTAATATAGGCTTGTGATCGGTGAGGAAGGGAAACAAGCAAACCAAGCCCTAAAATCACCCCAGTTTTCTACCTGGTGATTTCTAGGCACCTACACAGAAAGTGGGAATCAATAGGAACCCTGCCATTCTTAGGGAATTGTGTCCAAAACTCTTTAAAGGAATAAAACAAAACCTGTCACTCAATAATGTAAAATTACACATCCAGCATACAATTAAAATACGTAGAAATGGGAAGAAATAGGCATATGTGACTGGTAACCACAGGAGACAAAGAAGAAAAAGCAAAAACAGAATGAGTGGACAAGGGATTTACATGTATGTTCAAGTATTTAAAAAATAAACATAATGAGATAAATGGACAATATAAAGAAGAATGAAATGGAATTTCTAGATATGAAAAATATAATATCTGAAATTATGTCACCAAATGGAACTAAAAGCACATGTAATTCTAAGGAGGAAAAAAAACAAAAAACAGTGAAATTGTAGGTGTAATAGCAGGCATCACACAAAATAAAAGATTTTAAAAAAAATTTACCAAATGATGAGTCTCAGGACGTGTGACATATACCAAGTAGGACATGGGACTGGAACCTTAGAAGAGGAAAAAGAAAAAATAATTGTTGAAAATATTTAAAACAAGTTGAAAACTATAATAAAATTCTATACACGAGATAAAAAATTCTAAAGCATCCAAAGGAAAAAAAAAATCACACATAGAAGAACAAAGGTAAGAATCACTGCAAACTTACTGTCACAGATAATGAAGGTCAGCAGAGAAACAATTTTATAGGGTTAAAATGGAAAAATTTCTATCTAAAATTCTATATCCAGCAAAAATGTTGCAAAACACTTTCACTTCCAAATTAGTTCAAGTTCAAACATCTTTAGGAACCAACTAAAAATGTGTACAACCATGAAGAAATATTAATTTTTTTAAAATATATTCAACATCAGCTATACTATACACAGTTTAACTCCTCTATGGATATAAAAACATTAAAACCTTTCTTTGGACTATTGGATTCTTGTTTTGGTGGAGTATAGCAGCTTGTTAGAATGAAAAATGAATTTTGTGTGCATTATAGCTGAAATTTTCTCATGCGTTTCTTAATTTAGTAAAAATACAGTTTTAACTATGACTCCAGTATTTTCATGTTATTACCATGATAAAACACACAGTTGGGGAATTTCCTGATGGTCCAGTGGTTAGGACTCTGTGATCTTGCTGCAAGGACCTGAGTTCAGTCCCTAGTTGGGGAACTGGGATCCCACAAGGCATGTAGCACAGCCAAAAATACAACAAAACAAAAATATAGTTGATCCTTGAACAACACAGGTTCAACTGTGCTGGTCCACTTATACACAGATTTTTTTCAATAAAAATATTGGAAAATATTTTTGGAGGTCTGCAACAATTTGAAGAACCTTGTAGATGAACTGCACAGACTAGAAATATTGAAAAATTAAGAAAAAATTAGGTATGTCATGAATGTAATATATATTATACAATGTGTTATATATTGTGTAGATTTACATAACAGTAGACTACTTCAAATTAAGTTCTGAGGGATCAAAAATTATACATGGATTTTCTACAGCAAGGGGTGCGGGGTGGTCAGCGCCCCTAACCTTTGCACTACTCTAGAATCAACTGCAATTTCACAGTCAATGTTAAACTTTTGAGCTAAATTTATACTTTCAATTATGTAACTTGTCTCATATTCAACAAAATGAGATTCCAAAATATTTTTTTTACTGTGTGAACTGAATAAAAGAACAAATTGTTATTAGAATTAACTGATTTCCCGGTTGTTGCAGCTAAAGGCATTGATAAAAACTGGCCTCATTCAAACTCTTGGCAAAATTCTTCCAGTGAAACAACACAGTAACATTAGAATGGTGCACAAGAAAACTTGAAGGAAAAATGAACAAAGCTGTTTTAGAAAAACAGTGACTAAATAAAAGGACATGTGTCACAAACTGACATTTAAGCCCCCTTCTGCTGTCTTATATGTAAATTTATCATCTTTGGCTAAAGGCTTCTTAGGAAACTTACTTTTAAAAAAAACGCTGAAGCTTCTTCAGCTAATCATGTCTTCTAATTTTCATGGGGTCAGTGATATCACTACTGCTCTTAAGGGATATGGAAAATATTTCCTGCAAGGAGCACATACACGATCAATTCTCTTTAAAAGAAACACAATTTAATCATCTAATATTTTATTAAATGTAAACTTTTCAGGTTTTCTGCCTCAGTGTTGCTCAAAAGATTCATTGCCAAATGAGAAAATGTTTAAGCCATAAAACAGCTGAAGGTTTAAACCATAGAGTTTGTGACAAAATCATCCTAGCTAGTGTTCAGGCGACTCTTTATGACACTGCACATGGGAGGACTGCTTATCTTCTGTTTCCCACACACATCTCATTACAACTGTTGTGTAACTGCCCACTGGTAGTCAGGAGCTGAGGAAATGCAGCTCACACAAAGTGCCAGTCACTTGCTTCAATCTGAAATCACTCTGCAAGGCCATTCCAGCTCCAGAGCTCCTTGTGGGATCAAAGTCTCTCTCATCACTGCCTCACAGCTCACCTTGCGCTTTCCCCACTTTCTTCCTAATAAAGGTGTACTCAAATGTTCATCTCCAATCTGCTTCCCAGAGGTCTTAAACTAAGACCCAAGAGTCTTTCTGGGATCCAGCATGCCACATCTCTCAAAGGCTAAAAAGAAACTGTGCAGGTATAGGCTTGCCTGAGCTGAGAAGAAAATCTAGGTAAGTGTTCATGGAAGCTGCCATGCAGGATACTGAGGTGCAAAGAGATGTTTGGGCCAGTCAAGGCTGCCATGAGCACAAGAATGCATAGGTGGTAGAGCACTGAGATCTAGAGACACCTGCTGGGAGTTAGAAAGAGTAACATGCTTTCTACTTAGACTTATGAATTCAGTTTGCTGACTGTTGTAAAGAGGATTTAGCAATCTTTTATGTGGAGAGGGAGAAGAATACAGATAGGTAATAATATAAGCTTACAGAAAGTAAGAGAATATTATCCAAAGGATGCTATGTTTGGTTGTAAAGCTTTAAAGGGTGATTTTCTTTAAGCCTTGTGATGCTACAGTTAGCGTGAGAGAATGTGTCGTGTTTTCAGAAGCTATACTTGTTAGAAAAGAGGTATTCAGAAAAGGTCCCTCCTTGCGGCTATCATTCAGAAAAGGTCCTTCCATTGTGGCTATCAGAAAAGAGGTATTCAGAAAAGGTCCCTCCTTGCGGCTATCATTCAGAAAAGGTCCTTCCATTGTGGCTATCAGAGATTAAGGCACTTCAGGCTTAAATAAGACACATCCCCACCCACAGTTTAGAAACTTTCACAGGATCTACACAGAGAAGAATTGCTCTGAGCAGGGATCTCTGCAAGCTTATGTTTCAATTATCTGTTTCTAGGTAACAGATCACCTTCAAATTAGTGGCTTCAAACAGCAACAATTATCGTCATGGCTCAAGAATCTGGATGTGCTGAGTTCACCTGGGTAGTTCCTTCCTTATGCGGTGAGAGCTGTGGCTGCAGTCATCTGGAGGCTCAACTGGTCTGGAATGTCCAAGATGGCTCACTGGAGGCTCAACTGATTTGGAATGTCCCAGATGGTGGCAGTTGGTGCTGCCTAAAGGCTGGGATTTTTTGTGGGGCTGTCAATCAGAGCACTTTGGTACTCCTTTATGTGACATCTTCAAGTGGCTCACTTGGGCTTTCATAAAAGTCTGGTAGTCTCAGGATAATCAGACTTCTTCTATGGTGACTGAACCCTAAGAATACAAAATTAGAAGTAGTCATGTCCTTCTAAGTCTCAGGACAGGAGTAACATAATAAATAGCACTTATGTCACATTCTATTCTATTAAAGCAAGCTATGGGGCCAGATCAGATTCAAGGGGAGGGGACCAAATGAGGAGACCGCCAAGAGTCATTCATTCCTGGTCACTGATGTAGAGATTGCCACAGTTTCCCAATCTTTCTATTTTAAACTGAAATGTTCACAGAGGTTATCCTGTCCCTCTTTCTTCATTGGACATTATGCTTGAGTTTAGTCTCTGGATTAAGAGAGGCAGATCTGAAACTTACGCAGAAACTATCATGTGATGCTGAACTTTGAGACTAAGCCAAATGATAGGAATTCTGGTCACCTACCTTAGGGAGGATATTTTGCACATTAAAAGAAGGAAGGTGAATATTTATCAAAGTAATGTATTAGATAATTTAATACATATTACAATGTCAATATAGTATAACATAAAATATATTCTATAATATATAAACTATATAATAGATATACCTTAAATATATGCTATATTATCATATACTATATATTAACATAAGTAATATTAAGAATATTTTAGAGATAATGTTCTTAAAATTGTTTGAATTCTGAAGACAATTTTTAAGGTAAATTTTGTGAAGGAGCCTGAGCTTGTGTCTGATAGGAAACTGCTTTCTGACTTCAGACTACACTACAAAGCTACAATAATCGAAATGTTAACCAAAATCACAAGCCCATGTACCTGACATCCAGTGAGGCCCATCAATACTAAAGATTAGAGTTTGGAACAGAAAAGGGTTTATTACAGATTCATACAAGGAAATGGGTGGCCCATCCCCTAAGAACCTCAAAGTTACTGAAAGCTTTCAGCAAGTCCCCTTAAAAGCAAAAGCTGAGGGATAGGTGTGGTTGATTGTTGCAGACTTCTCCATGTCAGAGTCTTTGTTCTTGAGGTCTGGTCATAGTCAGGTAATGATGTTCCTGTAAATTTCTACCAGATGACTGTTATTCTCTCTCCTGAACAGAAAGGGCGAAGTTCCAAGATGCGACTTTTACCCTCCAAGGTCCCAGTCCTGGCTCAGAGGAGACAGATCTCAGTTGGCAGCTCCTTCAGGGCCAGGTTCCCACATCCTGCCCAGCTGTCATCCCTGAGGGAACCAGGCACCCAACCCAAATGGCCCTTAGTCTTCTCAGGCTGCCCAAAGAGGGAGACTAGGGCTCACAGACTAGCCCATACAGACAGCCACTGCTATTAGGCTGTAGAGACAGGGACAGGGGAGAGGCTCACTGCTGCCTCAAGGCCTGGGTCAAAGCTAGTGGAGGGCCTCAGTGAAAGGTTCTGGAGACCTGCAGCATGTAGTCTCTAGTTTGCTCCCCGGGGCCTCTAGTTCACTCACTGGCCCAAGGCTAGGTAAGCTGGAGGGCCTCCAGGAGAAGGCCTGAATCTGCCTCTTACCTCACTCTCCACCTGATGACCACCATACTACCACCCCTTGGCTGAATCACCAATGGTCCCTCATTGACAGTTACCAGTGGGCAGGGCCCACCGCAGTGCTGACCAAGAGCTGAGCAGGACAACCAACAGTCGCTCATTGACAGTTGGTTGCTTTGTGGGTGTGGGGCATCGACCAATGGCTGGGCAAGACCTAGTTGCCTAGTAACAGAGTGCAGAGTAATTAGGCATAGCAATGCTACCTGCTAAGGGCTGCGCTCTCCCTGTTCTGTTACAAAAACAGTATGGTACTGGCATAAAACCAGACACAAAGATCAATGGAATAGAGTAGAGAGCTAGAAATAAACCCACACATTTTCAGTCAATTAACCTATGACAAAAGAGGCAAGAATAGAAAAGGGGAAAAGATATACTCTTCAATAAGCAATCTGGGGAATTTAGACAGTTACATGTAAAAGAATGAAATTAGAACATTTTCTCATACCATACACAAAAATAAACTCAAAATGGATTAAAGAACTAAATGTAGTAAGACTGAAAACCATAAAACTCCAAGAAGAAAACATAGAACACTCTTTGACATAAATTGTAGCAATATTTTTAAAAAATCTGTCTCCTAAGGTAAAGAAAACAAAAGCAAAAATAAAGAAATGGGATCTGCATAGCAAAGAAAACCACTGACAGAATGAAAAGACAGCCTACCAAATGGGAGAGAATATTTGCAAATCATATATCTTATAAGGGGTTAATATCCAAAATACATAAAGAACTCATACTGTCTCACAACAAAAAGCAAACAATTCTATTTTTAAATGGGCAGAGGAGCTGATAGGCATTCTTCCAAAGGAATTCTTTCAGATGGCCAATAGAAATGTGAAAAGATGCTCAACATTACTAATAAGAGAAATGCAGATCAAATAATAAGTATCCCCTTACATCTGTCAGAATGGTTATTATCAAAGATACTGCAAATAATAAATGTTGGTGAGAATGTGGAGAAAAAGAAATCTTTGGACACTGTTCATAGAAATGTAAATTGGTATAGCCATTGTGAAAAACAAGAGGGAGGCCCCTCAAAAAACTAAAAACAGAACTGCAATAAAGATCCAGCAATTCCATTCCATGGTACATATCTGAAGAAAACAACACTAATTCAAAAAGACACATGCATCCTAATGTTCATAGCAGCATGAATTACCATAGTCAACAACAGATGATCGGTCCCTCAACGGATAAAGAAGATGTGGTGTGGGTATACACACACACACACACCCCCCCCCACACACAAATGGAATATTATTCAGGCATAAAAAGAATGCAATTTGGGGGATTTGTCTGGCAGTCCAGTGGTTGTGCTTCTAATGCAGGGGGCACAGGTTTACTCCCTGGTCAGGGAACTAAGATTTCACATGCCATCTGACCTCCAAAAGAGAAAAAAAAAAAGAATGAAATGGACCTGGTAGGTATTATGCTTAGTGAAATAAGTCAGAGAAAGACAAATACTGTATCTTATCATTTATATATGGAATCTAAAAAATAAAAAGATGACTATAACGAAACAGAAACAGATACACAGATATAGTAGTTAGTAGTTACCAAAAGGGAAAAAGGTAGGAGATAAAGAGGTACAAACTATGTACAAAATAACAAGCGACAAGAATATATGCTAGAGCATAGGGAATAAGAGGGTTACAGGTGGGAAGGCCAGAGGCAGGAAGAAATAAACTGCAAGTGGCAGACGCTTGTCGGGAGCCAAGAAGAGGACAAGCGAACGCCCCGCCCATGACAAGGCTCTGGGTAAAGGTCATGGACCCAAGGAGGCCATGAACCCAGGGGAATCCGAGTCCAGTAGGCTCCGGGACACTCCCTATTCCTGCTATATGTGTCTTGTCTGTACTAATACTCTTTCTTGGAATTCTTGGTGGTTTTTCGCTGTTCCTAGTAGACCTCGGGGAAGGTCCCAGGGACATCTCTAGGGTGTAAACGTCTGGGGGCTTCCCAGAAGAGTTAGGCTTACTCTGCCCCCAGGGAGATGGGAACCATATGAATAACCTGGTATGCGGGAGGTATTTAGATTTAGGCCATTTATAGATATGTGGGATTTTATATATAGGAGGTATATTAAGGAATATGGAAATAGATTAGAAGTTAAAACTGCTTATAAATGTGATTATGAATCCCATCCCTGGACACGCAAACACTATTAGATTTAGTTGTAAGTTCAATAATCACATAGTGCCAAAGGAAACTTTATAAGTTCTCATAATGTGGAGTAACGGTTAAGACAGCTGTGACGCTGCTGCTACTCCATTTCCCCTGCCCATGGTGTACCTGGGAGTACACTAGAAAGTAGTGTTAGTGCTATAGGTATCATAGGCGGCTGTGTGAAAATAGAATGAATTATGGCTTGTAGATTAAATAGTAAGCAAGATATTGTAGTATGTGTATAATATAAAAGTTAAGTTTTTATAGTAGGTAAAATTATAATAGAAACTATAGTGGTTAAATGATTGATTATACTGTAAAACTGTTAAAATATTTTTTGCCTGTAGCTATGTGTTTCTTTGTAGCTGACGTTTGTCCATTCAAGTGAAGCAGTGAAGCAAGAAGAACGTTTAAACCTGAAAACAGAGTGGGCTAAGAGGTCCAAAACAATCCTTGTCACGCGCCACTAGGGACGGAAGATTTTGTACCCTGGGAAATTATGTCTTGGAAAATATCCCCTGACTTGTTTTGCTGATCTAAGGGGGATGTCATCTGGAAAGATCTGAAAACAATAATTCGTACCTTGGCCCCAGTAGAAAAAAAGATATATAAGATGTTAGAGAAAAAATAAAGTAGAGAAGAAGTTTTTCCACTGCAAGTGTGTGTGTGTGTGTGTGTGTGTGTGTGTTTGCATTCTCCGACGCCGCTCATCCCAAGGGTTCCCTGGACCAGCGGAGGCTGGACCCCCGCAGACGCTTTCTTTTTTTTTTTTACTTCTCTACACAAAATTAAAAGAGGCTTTTAATTCTGTGACACCTGGTTCTTCCTTGAGCTAACCAATGCTTTTTTTTTTTTTTCATGGAAATGTTTTTCTTAAGCTGTGTAATGAAACTATGTATTTGCTTTGGAATCTGCCTTTCTTCAAAATGGTTCTGCCTAAGACTAACTTTTTTTCTTTTCTCAAACCTTAGGCTGATAATGGCTCAACAAACCAGCATTCATGTCAATTGTATGGCCAGGGAATGACATACCTCATGCCATCCTATCTCAAAAATGCATATTGTGGGAAAGGGGCCTGGTAAAACTCCCTCAGCCTTGAGGTGTCTTTCTTATCTGATTAATAGCTTTCTAACAGACATAAAACACCTTGCTAAAAACTAGCATAGGGGCATTCTTTCTGTCCCCTTTCTGCCTATGTCAGAAGCTTTCCCTATCTCTGTTATACTTTAATAAAACTTTGCCACACAAAAAGCTCCAAGTAGTCAGGCCTTGTCTCTGACCCTGGATCGAAATCCTCTCCTCCGGGGATAGGATACGAATCCTGGCATAACACAGGCTTGCAGCAACAACCTTTCAGGAATATACCCAATATTTTATAATAACTTTAAATGAAATATAAGCTATAAAAACTTTGAATCACTATGCTGTACACCTGAAACTAATACTATCAATGAATTATATCTCAATTTTAAAAAGAGAAAAAAAGATACAGATTAAAATTAGTAAGGGGGACTTACCTGGCAGTCCACTGGTTAAGACTCCATGCTTCCAATTTATGAATTGGAGCAAACTCTTGGAGATGGTGAAGGACCAGGAAACCTGGCATGCTACAGTCCATGGGGTCACAAAGAGTTGAACACGACTTAAGAGACTGGACAATAACAACTCCCAGCTCAGGGGAGATATGTTTGATCACTGTTTCGGGAACTAAGATCCCATATGCCACACAATGCAGTGAAAAAAAAATTAGCCAAGGAAAAGGAAGAGTCTAGAAGAACCATCAATGGAGATTTTGTCCTCTCCCCATGAACTGATAGACATTTAATTCTAGCAACAATGACAGACAACATGCACAAAGTATTACCAACCCACAAAGTTCATCTGAGCCAGGTGTCCAGAGTTTTTATTCAGGATCAGTCACTTAGAAAAGGAGTGACATGGCTGACCTTAGTTACTTAGTCTCTGGACTCTCAGATGTCAAACTGATGTCAAGTGTACCAAAGCCCTATGTAAAAAATGAGCTTTTATCAGTCAGTATATTCCAAAAACTTAGAGGTTAACTCCTGGGAGCCTGGCAAGGGTCAAATCTTTCTTTGGGACGTGCAGGTTTTAAGACAACCCAGGCCTACTGAATTTATCCTTTACTCCAGAGAAGCAAACACATTCTTTCTTGCAATCCAGAAAACAGTGGGGCCTAACAACAACAGGGGTAGCATTAGCAGTGACAACATGTACCACGCACTCACTACAGGTGCTATAAACATGAGAGCAACTGAGGATGCAGACATAGGACAGTTAATCTCAGGTCTGGCTAGAGCAGCCTTTATGTACCCAGGAGGAAGTGGAGCCAGCACGTCCATGGCAGGCATTTGTGAAATATACTAAAAAATGTTTAAAATGGCTATAGAAAGGGCTCCAAGCCTGGCCTTATCATAGAGGGCACTTCTAGTATGTCACCAGGAACTGCCAATCTCCCCCCAGGGGGACTATGAGTGTGGTGATCATAGAAGCCTGTTGCAGTGTGATCCTCCCATCCCAAACTCACAGGGTTAAGGCAACACGAGTGAATGGCACAGAAACGTTTATAGCTGTAAATGCTTACATTTAACAAGAGGAAAGATTTTAAGTCAATAACCTAACTTTATCTCTTAAAAATCTGGAAAAACAACCTAAACCCAAAGCTAGTAGAAAGAAGGAAATAATATAGATTAGGGAAAGTTGCCTAAGAAATACAGTACAGGAACTCACTATCATTTCTCTTCCAATTAGAAACTCAGCAGTGTGCACTCAGTCTTAGAACATTTTTCCAGGCAATGAGGTATAATTATAGACAAACTAACCTGAATAAGAAATATTTATTTCATTTTTCTGGTTAAGTCTGGTGTTGAGGTTGGAAGAGGCCACAATCTTTTTTAGTTCACTTACCAGGACTGAAAACTCAGCAGGGAACAGGCCTTTCCCATTTGCTTTGCTATTTTCAGAGTATGGCTTTAAATTATGTCTTTGGAGGTCCAGCTTGCTTCAGGTTCTGGGACCATCCTGCATCTTTACAAAGCAGATGGACAACTCTGGCAACACTATTCTTGATGAGAACATGTGAGGACCTTCCTGTTCCTGTGAAATGAGAAAGGAACAAGCAGCCCAATTAAGAAATCAGAAAGTGATTTGATTCTATTTTCAGTATTCTGATTATGATGGACTAAATGGAAGGACAGCCCATCTCCTGTAGAGTGCTTAGTCACTCAGTCAAGCCTGACTTTTTGTGACCCCATGGACTGTAGCCCGCCGGG